TTTTTTTTTTTTTTTTTTTTTTTTTTTTTTTTTTTTCTTTTTTTTTTTTTTTTATCGTTATTGCTTCATTTGATTCATATTTTCATAAAGAGAATTAACAAAGACTTTTTAAAATATTTGCTTTAAAAAAAAAAAAAAAAAAATGTCATTTAATAAATTAAAAAAGATAACTTTTTTCTTAATTAATTATGTTATGAATAAATAAAAAATAAAGTATTTTTAAACAGAAATACAAAAAAAAAAATTCCAAGAATTCTTATTAGCATAATCAAGAATCACGATACGATTCTATCTACATAATAATAAAAAAAAAAAAAAAAAAAACGGAAAAAAAAAGGAAGAAAAGAAAAAAAACTCTTTCCTTTATTTATTTTTCATAATACATTAAAAATGATAATTACAAAAAAACACTGAAAAACATAAAAAAACTTTAAAAAATTTTTAATGATAAATAAACACAATATTTATATAAAATTATGTATAAATATTTTACATATATAGGAATATATTTAAAAATTATAAAAATTTTGGCTTCATAAAAAAAAAAAAAAAAAAAAAAAATTCAAAAGCCAAAATATCCTGATAAATTTAAATTATTATCAATATTTTTAAAGTTCTTAAAAAAATTAGAGATCTTCGAAAAGTGGTCTAATTCACTAGGTATTTTTTCAAAAATGTTATCAAATTCCTTAATTGTATTATCTGTATTATTAAAATAATAATCATTATTAAAGTCATTTATTTCACTTTCATCTGATGAAGAATAAATCCAAAAATTTGAATGTGTGTAAATGTGTTCATAAGGAGTTCCTTTTAATATTTCATTATTTATACCATCTATTATATTTTTATTTATATTTATTTTATTTTTTAGATTATTTATTTTCATAACTGTTTTTTTTAAATTTAATGGCAAACTTATACTTCTTCGGATTTTTAACCTCTTATTTTTTGTTGAAACTGTATCCAAATTTTCTTTATTTAGTTTCTCATTAATTTTTAATTTGTTATTATTTCCATTTAATTTAAATTTTTCATTTGTATTTAATTTGTTTTTACTTCTATATGAATTCGTTGTATTTATACATGCAATTTCGTTATCCTTATCAAAATAATCACCTTTGTTTTTATAATCTTTATGATTACCATAACTATTAATACTCTTATCTGAATGATTTTTAAAAACATTATCACTAAAAGAATCTTTATAATTTTTTTTATCTATTTTGAATATAGATGAAATAAAATTAAAATTGTTATGTTTATCTTTTCTATTATTAATTGTAAATGCTGCATCATTTTTTGGATAATTATAATAAGAATAACACAAAACAAGAAAATTACAAAAATCCAATAAACTATATGCGTTTTCGTTAACATAAATTAAAACATTCTCATTGGAAGCGGATAAATTTATAAATTCATTTTTTTTTTTTTTTTTATTTAAATTAGTCAAATTAAGTAAAGATTCAAATGCTGATATTAATTTCAAATAAATCATATATATTTTTTTATATAAAAAAATTCCTACATTTAAATATTCTACATATAGCCATAAATAAGCATTGCTTCTTCCTAAATCGTAAATTTTTTTTATAACATTTTCATCAGCACCTTCTAAAGCAATTTTAAATAGTTTTCTCATTGAAAAAACATTTTTTATAAAATACGTTTGGTAATTATTATATAAATTTTCATTTATATCTGTTTTTAATTCTTCGATAAAATCATTGTCATTGCTTTCAGTATATCTTATATTTTTTTGTTTTAAGCATTCTGTTTTTAAAAGAAGATTATATCTTCCTTTTTTTATTTTTTCTTTTTCATTCTTTTCATTTACATGTTTTTCATATTTTGTTTCTTTATTATTTTCATTCTTTTTTTTTTTATCAATATAGTCTATATAAATATTATTCAAATTTTCAGGATTCTTATTAATTTTTACTATTTTATTATCTGTTTCTCCACCGTTACTAGGTTCACATTTACTGTCAAAAAAAGAATCAATATTTTTACACATATTAGAATCACTTATATAAGTAATGGAGTTTTGATTAAATAAGTTTTTTCTTTCAATTCTTGATATGCCAATATCTTTTTTCACTTTTTTATTGTTCTTGTTATTTTGTTTTTCTCTTTTTTTAAAAAATTTATATTTTGTTTTTTCATTAAAATTAATCATAAAAACGAATTTTAATAAAAACAGAATATCTGTGTAGTATATATATATATGATATAAAAGAAGAAAAATATCTTTTTTCTTTTTTTTGTTCATTTCATATATTTTATTTTTATTCATTACATAAAAACCGCAGATTTTTTTAATTAAGCTATAGTCATAATTAAAAATAAGTAAATTTTCAAAACTATAAAAATATTTTATGTAATTTAAATTATTGTTATTATTTATAGAATCTAATAAATTTTCACCGTTTTTATGAAATCTATATTTAAAATAATTCATTTTATTTACACATTTCAAATTTCTAAAAAAAGAAAAACTATTTATATCATTGCTGATTATTACATTGTTGTAAATTTTATTGTTATTCATTTCGTTATTATATATCTCTTTATTATATAATTCTTTATAATAAATTTCATTATTGTGTGAATAATTATTTGTTTCACTAAAACTTTTTTTGAAATAATTCACTTTATATTTATTCTTTTCTATGTTAATTCTCTTAAATAAATTTATCTGATTTTTATTTATTTCATTAATATTTTGTTTTAACATATTTTTTTTATTTTGCCACATTTCAGAGAATTTTTTTGATAACGTAATTATTGAAGTTTTATTCAAATTTTTTGAACTATCCTTTTTTAAATCATTTTTTTCATTTTTTCCTGTACTACTACTACTTAAAAATATATTAGCATTACTTTTTGAAGTTTTTAATTTTAAGAATTTTTCTATATTTTCAACGTTCATTAATGCAAGAAGGCTTTTATAATATAAATTAGAATATAAATAAACATATAAAAATATATATGAATCATTTATATCTTCTACATTTAAATTCATAAAATTATAATAATTATGTTTATTAATTTTTGTTATCTTATTATTATAATTCTTTATTTCATTGATAATATAGATGAAGTTTTTATATATGTGATTATACTTTAAATAATGCCTTATAGGTTTCACATCTTGCTTTTTTTTGGTTAATAAAAAATGTTTTCTATAATTATCAGTACTTTTATTATCTAATTCTTTACCATCTATAAAAAATATGATTTTTATTATTTCTCTTTTAATGTATTCATTAAAATAAATTTCTTTTAATACTTCTATCATAAATGTAATTTTTTTTTTTAAAAATTTTTTATCTATTTTTACAATGTTTTCATTAATAAATATTTCTTTAAAAAAAATTAGGATTATATCGCTTTTTAATTTTGGATAAAAGTGTATATATTTATTCATTTTTAAAAGGTTTTCATTTTTCAAAAACTGAATAACTTCTTGAAACTTAAAATCATATATATCTGTTAATTTATCTTTTACATAATCATTGTATTTCTCATCTATATAATTTTTATTGTTTTCTAAAAAATCTGATACAATTTTATCTAAGCTAGAAGTACAGAAATTCTCCGAAAAATATTTACTTATAATATTTATTAAAGTGACAGAAAAATAATAAAATTTTATTAAATTACAATTGTATTTATTAAATTGTGTGAAAATTTCATTATTTAAATCTATAAATAATTCTATTTCTAAATCATTCATATCCATATAATTTAATTTGTTTAATTTAATACGGAGAAGATTAATTAATTCAACGCTATTCTTTTTATCAGAAAATTTATTCTCATCAATTATTTCGTTACTTCTTAAAAAACTAAAATAGCTTTTCAAAAATTCATAATTATCAAATATTTTCTTGTTTAAAATTTTTTTTAAATTATATATAAGAAATAAATAATCTTTTTTCAAAAATAAATTATTTATAAATTTATGAAATAAGTTTTTAATGGATAAAAAAAGTACTATAACATGATTATATTTAATTAAATGAGGACTAATAACGCTATTATTTTTATTTTCAATACCTACATAATCAGAATCAAAAGGAGATACTTTAATCGTTCTATCTGTTTTTGTATTTGGACAGCCAAAATCCTTTTTTTTTGTACTGAAAAAACCATCAATACATTTTTTATTTCTAAAATTGACAAAAATATTACTAGATAAATACATAGGTATATTACATGATGCTATAATAGCACTAATTAAATCATTATCATCATAAAATTTATTAATATTTAACTTTTTATAAAAAGGTAATATTTGAGTTATTCCAACAAAAACATTTCCTGTTCTTTTATTTAAAAATTTATAACTATCTTTATATAAATATTTATTTAATTCTATATTTAATAAGTTTTGTAATTTTTGATAGCATCCGTTTTTGTATACATTACTAATAATATTTTCAATTAAAAAAAAACATTTATCTACATTTAACCCAATACTCAAACAACAAGCACAAATACTACCAGCAGATGAGCCAGCTATATTCGTATGAATATTCAAAATATTTTTTTCTATTAATAAACTACTTACACCTAAATGATATGGAATTAATAAACCAGCAGGAGAAAACGATATTCCAACATTCATTTGTTCTATTTTTTCTTTATTATTTATTATATTACCTTTTGCTTGACGCATTTTTGCTTTTTTCTTTATTTCATCTTTATAAAATACTTTAGACAATGTGTTTTTAATATATATAGAATATGGATTATCAATTTTTTGGTTTATTTGTTTATTAGGAGATTTATAATTACTTCTATTAATGATGTTTTTTAATTTTTCGTTATTTAAATTATTTTCATTTTCTTCAACATATGTGGTATTATTTTCTGTGGATATATTATTCACATTTTTTTTATTTATTTTTTCCTTATTTTCATTTCTATTTGAATTATTATTTTCTTCATTATTCATTTTCTCATCATTTTCTACTTTGGTGTAACATATATTATCACTTAGAGGATAATTCTTTTTTAATTTATTTTTTTGTTTAAGTATTTTTATATTCCTATTTTTCAATTTATATGGAATAAATTTTTTATAAACAAAACTCTTTCTTTTAATATTCTTTTTCTTTATTCTTTTTATATATTCTTCCCAAGTTTTATATTTTATAATTTTTTTTTTTAAATTTTCATCATCTATATTTATTATTTTTCTTTGCCTTCTATTTTTTCTTTCCTTTTCTTTTTTTCTTTTTCTTTCTCTCCCTCTCCCTCTCCCTCTTTCTCTTTCTTTTTTTTTTTCTCTTATTTGTGAATCATCATTTTTATAATTGCTTTTTCTTTTGTTCATCATACTTTGTTCTTTCACTTCTTTTTTATTTCTCCCAATTTCAATATTTTTTTTTAAAATAGGATAATTTCTTTTATCAATATGATACAAATAGTTTCTAATACATGTTTCCATATCATTTGCAGATATGTAATTTTTTGATTTATTTATCTTTTTATATATATAGTTAGTATCTGATACATCTTTTAATAATACATTTTTACTTGAATCATTCATTAAATTCTTTATATTTAAAAAGAAAAAATAAAAGGAGATAAAATTAGCTATTTCTATTTTATTTTTCTCTTTACCATTTAAAAAATTTATTATATATTTATTATTGTGAATAATAATATCATTCACATTTTTATTTTTCATTTTTATATGATTTTCACTTAAATTTTTAGAATTATTACAAGATTCACTCTTTTCATTAATTACATATTTATTAATATCATTTATGTTGAAAAAGCTTCTGAGATAATTTTCATAAAAATAAGTATTAACTGAATTTTCATCTACAGTTGTCTTACTTTTTAAACTTTCATTTGAGTTTAATTTATCCTTGCATTCTTTAATATCAATATTTATTTTATTATCTTTTATTTCATCTTTCACTTTTTTATTATCTACATATATTTTGTTATCTATTTTTTTTTTCTCTTTTTCTCCTATATCATCAAGATTTAAAATTGTATCTCCTTGATTTTTATTGATTTCTTTTTTATTAGAATTACCCATTTAAATAAAATATTAATCTATTTTTATTTTTGTTTATATAATTTTTTTTTTTTTTTTTTTTTTTTTTTTT